TTTTTTTACTTTACTTTCATTGACATGACACCAGCAGTAATAACTACTTGCGATATAATTGTCAATCTGCACTTGTACCAAGAAGATGCCGATATGTGTTGCCTAATCAAGGATGAGTGGAATTGGGATGCAGAAAAGAAAACCAAGGCCCAGGAAATCTTAGATATCATTAATTAATTAATGTGTCACTTAATTCTTTCAAAATTTTCTTTTTTCTTATATCATCTGCTTTGTTTGTATTTTTGCTTTTTATATATTATTATTAAAGTCTTTTTCTTAGGTAATTTTGGTCAATTGGAGACCATTGTGTCCTTAGTTGTGCTGGAAAATGTCTTAGCACCTTTGAGAGAAACCACCCACAAGTTATAGCAGCGAGATTTCGATGTCCGGTCGACATATTCTTTGCTGTCCTCTGTCAAGAAAGACATGAATCTATTAAGGCGAGAAGTAAACGACCGATTTGATGGATGGTATGTGGAAATAAAAAAATTGCTGAACAGCTTGGGACTGATGAAAAAATACGCCGAGCTAAAGCCAGCACTTACAGGTATCTAAGGCCTTTTGATTTGCCTTGCAGAAATAATGATTTTTTTTAACACAAAATTTATTGTTTTTATTTACACATGCTTACTTTGTTTTGTTGTTTTAACATGCCGATCAATTTATTCTTTCATTTTCTTGCAAAATAAAGTTTTCTTTCTTTCTTACAGGTCAATACACCCAGCCAAAAACCCGAGGGAGTATTTCAAACAGGCATATGTGATACCCTTTGTTGATGATGTGAATACACAACTGGCCGAGTGATTCTCTGACTCATCTATCACAGCTGTTTCAGCATTCATGTCGTGGATACCATCAGTGATAAGAAGGATGGATTTGAAAGAGATATCGACATTGGTGAACCAACTTTCAGGATATCAACCAGACCTTACTCGTCTTAGTAGTGTTATAAATCTATTCTTAATTTAATTTTTATATTCTGTTTTTGTTTTGTTTTTTTCATGTTTGTTATATCTGTTCCATTCAAGTTTTTAATGGCTGGCCTAACACTTTATTTATTTAATAACGACGCTAAAAAGTAAAGCCTTAATTACTAAGGTAGATTTTCTTTACTTTATTTCAGGTAGTTTACAAACTGAGCTAGAGATCTGGCGAAGAAGGTGGAAGAATTGTGAGAACTCTCCAGATACTCTAATCAGTGCCCTCAAATCTTGCTCTAAGGATTTGTTTCCAAACCTTCATGTGCTGCTTCAACTTGGATGCCTCATTCCTATCACTAACTGCGAAGCAAAAAGATTATTTTCGGCTGTTCGACAAACGAAGATGATGTTGCGATCTATGATGTTGGAGGACTGCCTTAGTGCCCTAAATTGCTGAACTCCACAGACTTCAAATTAATGTACAAGATGTTATTCAAAGATTCATCCTCAAAAAGCTACACCGACTATTTTCAACCTTGTACAAAGAGTAGACTTTATCTCTTGATGAAATAGGTATCAATGACGGCTGTGTTACAGTTTCGATTTTGTAGGGGGTAAACTATCAAATAGTCTTTTTGTTCATTTGTTATTACTAATAAATATTTCAACTGACAAAACTTTTGTTTTACATGAAATATATTCTATATAAATACTTAAACTTTCCATTTGGACCCCCTCCTGCTCAAAATCCTGGATCCGCCCCTGAGTGGGTGGTGATGACAAGCTTCATTACCTCTAGTATTACAATGTTAAATTAGGAATGGCTAGTGCAGATAGCCCTCATATAGCTTTGCACGAACTTCCAAACAAAGTTGTATTTCAATCTAAAAAAATATGAAATATGAAGCAGATTGAATACACAACCTACCTGCTTGAAATCTTGGTTTTAAAGAATGAGAGCGCTTCCCAACATTTTATAATGGCTGAGAAAACCACTAGGGGACATTCTAAATTGTCAATTAATTATTCACAAGTCATATATTGATAAGTGTATATGAGGTACCATTTCCAAAAATGAAAAGAGGTGAGCTGGGCTACTGTGTTTGATTCAGTACCTAGGCGATATCTATGCAAAAAGAAAAGATACGAAGTTCGTATTTTATATCAGCTTGTCAATATTGGTAATTTGAGTTCCTAATTTTAGATATTAATGTTTTTGTGTTATAATTTGTAGTCATTCTAGAACGAAAGAAGCATAATTTATATTTATTTCCTAATATTTTATGTTGGTTACGAGATTGGTCAAATCTGTCAAACCCTTAGATATTCATTAGTGAAAATAAAAGATAAAATATAAAGTTTTTCCTTAAGAAACGTTTGATAACTATCTGGACATTATTAAGATTTTGCATGTGAAATTTTAAAATTTTCTGATGCATGAAAATATTTTTCATCTTGAAATGAAAATTACTTTGCATGTTGGATAGGTAACAAGTGAAAAGAATAAAAAGGTAGGAGAAATTTTGCTTAACAAACCTTAAGAATTAGTACCTTGCGTATGAAATCATTGTAATGTTAACTGATAATGTGCCAAATTTCCTCAACATACGCTTACTAATTTAAAAGTTATAGCATGAAAACTATAACAAGGACACAATGGTTACGAGGTCGATCCGACGGACCAAGCCCATTTTGAAAGAGTTAAGCTAAGAATATAGATTCAACAAGTATAAAAATAGTTGTTGAATCAAGTTGTTTGGTTCAAAAACTCTTGAGAGAGGTAAAATGAATCAGAAAACTCTAAACAAGTTATGAACACTCAAAAGTAAAACTAGTATGTAAAATCCACTGCTATGTTATCAGTTATCTTTTCCTTTCACAGTTCTTTTGAAGAAGTGAGGAATTTTCATTACTATCTTCAGAGTCAGAGCTGTCATCATTACTGTCTGAGAGCCCTTCATCATCACTGACAGCACTAGAATAAACATCACTGTTTGAAGATGAAGATATGCAAGAAGAACAAGAAGTAGATGTTCCAATGCTTCCACTGCTGTCATCAGAGTCTGTGGCAGAATCTTCATCAGACTGGTCAGAGGATTTCTTACTGGGTTCCTCAGTCACCGATAATGTCTCACTCAATTTTAGGTTATCCAACTGCTCACCAACTAAAGCCACAGAATTAGATTTACAAGATTCTGATGTGTCAGTTGTGGGAATATCAACATTTTCTTCTTTTTCCAAAAGTGTCAATCTTGCAGCCGCTTCTAGTTCTTCCAGATCCAGGTTTACATCTCCTTTGTTTATTTCAACCTATTCAATTTATCCACATATCTACATTAATTTTAAGGTGTGCATTATTTCAAGCTATGTACATCTTTTGTACTTATTTATAAGAACTTATGAGTGAAACAAGAACAGAATGTATAACAATAAGTCAACCACACTATATCTGCCATATAAAATGATGACAAGGACTTTCACCCAATACCAAAGCTCATCATGCTGACTGGGATACAACTGAAACAGTATTGGTTGAGACATTTTTTATATTATCACACTGCATGAACAACTGTTTTGATGTGAAATGGAGTTTATGTTGATGAAGTGTAATTATTAACCATTCTATAAAAGTAATTTACAAATAATAAATAGAGTAAGGATTAATAACACAATATTATTTATCATTGTAACAACAATTATTTATTTCAACCAAACATTGAAAACCAGCATGCTAGTCTTATTGTTCTCATAGTAGGTCAAGCAACCACAACTTTTTAATCTGTGTAATTAGTCAACATCAGTATATCTAAAAAAAACACACTAGTTTTAATGTGCAAATAAGTTTAAACTTTCTTTTTTATTAAAAATGGTTCTATAAACACTTAGGAAATGAAGATGTACATAGTTTGCTATGTTGTTTTATAGTCAACACATTCTAGATACAGAGCTTCAACAAGCATTAAATGTCAGTTCCTGTTTCCAAGATTCAACTGCTGCTCAACACTCAAAAAGTCAGTTACTATAACTAGCCGATCCTCAAACTGTGGTTACATCTACATATGTCTTATCAAAGTACTTGTAAATACAATGATAATACCTAGTTATTAGTAACTAGCTGCTAAGGCTTACAAAGTCAGTCAGTATTAATAACTAAGTTGCCAAGATTTATAAAGTCAATTAATATTAATAACTGGTTATAAAGGTTTATGAAATAAGTGATTTTTAATACTTAATTATCAAAACTTATCAAGACAGCCAATTTTAATACTTATTTATTAAACCTATAATATTTACATTTTATTCATGTCTATCAAAGTCATAAGTTGTTTACTAAAATTTAGTTACAAAGTCACTTAACTTCAGTGCTTAGTAATAATCCAGGCTAACATTTACATGTAGTATATTGAAAACATTAAAAAGTCAGTCGATGTCAGTGCTTCAAAACATATGTTTAAAACATATTACCTTTACATCAACTAACAAATATTTAATTAAAAGTTCTTTCATTTGTGAAATATATTAACAGTAAGAGAAATAACCTCTCTCTCTCTCACTTAAAATTTTTTGTTTAAAGAATTAAATGGAATATACTGACAACAAAGCCTTCACCCAACCTATGTTATTAGGTAATTCTCATGCTCCAACTTTTATTAATTGATCATTGTCAGCAACATGTGTTATATAATTCTCATTATTCAAAATTTTTGTTAATATACGAGCTTCGTCAGTTTGACCAACTTTGCAACCACAATTTAACCATGAAAAATTTAACAAGCTTTTAGTAAACATTAACATTTTTTTACACAAACAAAATCTGATTTTTAAATAAGTATTCTAATTAAAAATTTGTCAATGAATTTATGAAGTCAGTCTGATGAGTGTGAGAGTAAAGTGATTTTTGTTTTAAGATTAAAAATAGTCTAGCTCAAGTTATAGTATTGAATTACATAATGCATGAGCTTCTCACATTCATAACTCGTTGTGAAGTTAATTTATCATTTATGTTTCATCTAACCTAATAAGTTACTAAATTTTACAATTCAGTTGCTTTTATGACAATAAATAAAAAATATCAAATGAATTAAGAATGATTAGTTCTTAGCAGTTGCTAGCTAATTTTATTGGAGGTAGAGAACTTAATTACAGTATTTCAAACACTTACTGGAAACCAAGAGCAAACTGGTAAGAAAACTATAGTAATTCATACCACAGCATGGGGTTGTAATAAATAAGTTTGATGTTTTTATAACATTTATTAATTTCTTTGATATTACTGGCTGATATAATAAAAAAAAAGAAGAATGTTAAATATGATTATTTGAAATTTCTTCCACTTTTTTAATCTATACACTGCCTGGAATGAAGATTTTGGAACAAACGACTTTCTTTCAATAATATCTATATTGTACACTTCATTGTAGTGAACTTAAAATTTTTAAATTTTCAGTGTGCATATAAAAACATATACTCACAGGATAAGACATAGTAAACACCCCAATAAAGATACCGAGATTAATTCTGCTGTTTTTCCAAGAAATTTTATCATGGGGGGGGGGGGGGTTATCTACATAGTTAAGTATATAGTCATTCAACTAAATCATGAAAAGAAAAAAAAGACTTCTTGGTTAATTGTAGTTTATTTTTCATTATTAAGAGATTTATGGGGTATAAACAGATATAAAAAAATGTACTTTTATAAATTAAAACGTATGTTCCAATTTTATATATATTATCATGTTTCTCTTCAAGACTTCTATTTCTCAATGAATATGTTGTACTTTCAGTGATTATAATCAATCATGGCTTACCTTTTCAAGGGCTTTAGCTAATGACATGAAATTTTTGGATCTGAAATAAAAATAAATATATTTTATATAACACCATTATGGTTGCTTACATGCAATTGTACTAAAAAACTAGTTTAACATTTGATTGTAACAAGCTTCAAGATTACTCAAAATATTAACCATCAGGATTATTTTACTTACTACCAGTGTTACATTTTAAAATATTTTTAACATGAGCCAGTTTATCGCTTCTGCACAGTCCTAATTCAAATGTAATTAGACCACAATTTTTGTTTTAAACCTAAAGATTCCTCATGATCCAAACCTCATTCATGTAAATTTAAAAGATGAACCTTCCTCTACCCATTATTTCTAAGTATGTTATTGTAAATTTAACCAGCCTCTAAACAAACTTAAAGCTTCACTATTATTCTCTACATATCTCATCCATAATATTTAAGCAAACTTCACAGTACAGAGATTGAAAAATAAAACTATAAACAATGAAGTGAAAGCTAGTTTGCCTATACAAGAATAATATTACTAACTTCAAGACAAGATTCATTTTCCAAAGTAAAATATAAATATATCATCTTCTTAATATGAATAAACTACATATTTCACAATTTTTTTTTTAATTAGTTAACTTATTAAAAATGCCCTTGTACTTTTCTACTTAAGAGAAACTTTCAAGTAACTTATAAATTATAAATTCATGATGAAAATATGTGGCTTCAGAAAAACTGGATCTTACTTTACATTTTGAACCCAAACACAATAATCTGTTATGTACAAGTCATTCAGAACATATCGAGAGTCACTGTCATTCAGGGTGTCATGGATCTTCAACAAACACTTCAAAACAAAGTTTCGTCCTAAAGAGAGAGAAAAAAGTGTTGAAACAGTTTAAGAAAATATATAAATAAATTTGTATTTGTTCATTATAACTTATACAGGACTATTTCAAAATTTTATTCTTAAATTCATATAAACTGTCTATTTCTATGCCACAAAGTTTTAAACAGAGGTTGTTAAAGAAACAGACATTTGTCATTTCTTGAGATATATATAGTGATGTAAAATTTATTGCATCATACAATTTTTTTCACACTTTTCTTCGGAATCATTGTCTGTTTTGAGGCCTTAATACATGTAGGTATAAATGTATTTCATGGATGATGCAATACTGTCTAATTATTACATCAGCAGCTTTATAGGCTGTCTGGTTATTGTATCAGTTGTGTTTTGGCTATAATTAGTGGTTCTTATTGACAGTCAGTTTAGAAGACTATCTGCTACAACATGCATGTGACACTACCATGGCTAAGGGTTGCGAGTTAACTCCACGGAAAACAACCAATCATTATTTCTTTGAGCAAAGAGGGTCTTTCAACAAGGCAGATTGATAGAAGAATTAAATCTTACCAATCTACTGTGAACCACTAGGACAGAGATATAGAGACACTGGGTGTGTGGAGCAGCAGAAGGGAAGGGGTAGGAAAAAAGCTTTCACAGCAGCTACTGATTGTATTCTGAAATGCATGAGCCTGCAGAATCATCGACTATTACTCACAGATCTCAATTCAGCATGGCAGGAAAGTTAGGAATCACTGTCACCATGCTCACTGTCCAGTTTCGCCTGTGCTCAGCCAGTCTCCCAGCAAGAAACCCCTCCTCGCCTACAAGATGAGGCTCAACTGGACCAAAGAGTATGCTGACTGGACTGAAGCAATGTGGAGCAAAGTGATCTTCTCAGATGAATCAAAGTTCAACCTGCATGGATCTGTTGGGATACACTTTGCACGATGTCGATGTTTGAATGCAACTATGAAGTATCAGCAGGGTCAGGTGATATAGGGATGCATCTTTGGAGGGGGGGCACCTGCATTTAGTGAAAGGCTCTGACAATGCCAACAAGTACATCAAGATCCTTGAGTCCTGCTTAAAGCCAACAATTTGGGATCCCTTTGGTAGAGCTAACCACCGTACATTCCATGATGATTCTGAACTATGCTATGGGACTAAAAAGGTTAGTAATATTCATGCACTCTAAGCAGTTGATGTGAAATAAGGGGAAATTTCACTCTTTGTGTCTCAAAAACAGATCTTAGGTTTTATTTTATTCCTTCAGGTGAAGGACTATCTTTGAAGGGAGAGGGTCAGCACATTACACTGGCCAGAAAATCCTTTCAAAAATTGCTCAAATGTAAGGGCTAACAAAGTGCAAGAGAAGAAATCGAGAAACATCTAGGAACTAACGGAATCCCTAATCCAGTTGTGACATTATGAACTCACCCTGCCTACATTTAGTTCCTAGTGCACTCAATGCCACAATGATATCAAGCAGTTATCAAGACCAGAATGAGCACAACCAAACATTAAAACAACCACTGTGACCACTTTCTGTCCATTACATTAGTGGCATTATCTTTAAATCTATGTTTTCTAACTCAAAAAATATTTTTGTATTTGCCAAGTATTTGTTGATCATCTGCTGTAATACTTTGTCAATAATTGTTTGGTTGTTTATGGTGCAAAGCAACTAGGCTATCTGCACCAAACAACCGGTAAAAATAGTGAAAGTAAAATTGTTGTAAAAATGTAAAAATAAATTGAGTTAAAACTAAAATATGTCCAAAATTCAGATAAAAGATTTAAATAGAATTAAAAAGGCCAATTGTTCTTAAAAAATTAAAAATACAATCAAGTTGGACAGTGTCACCATCGCCAATGACACTGTCCAATGTCAGGAATAAACTTATAGAAAAGAGATGTCTAAAATGGTGCTGCTGCTCACAGTTGTAACAATGGCATGACAGTAAAATGTGGGCTACACATTAATGGGTCAGTACCAGATAAAAGAAAACAAAGAGTTCAAAAACTGTGACTAATGCATAGCCTTGACACGACAACTTCCTCTTTCCAATCGTTACAGAAACAAGACGGCCACAGAGCAACAGAAGGTTTGACCTGGTGAAGCTTGTTATAACATTTCTCACCCCAAGTTGACTGCCAACTGGCAAGAAGCCATGCCTTGAATACAGGACCGTAGTCCGTGTATGGGACAGGCACGGCCGTGATGGAGCCAGAGCAGACGGACTTAGTTGCAGCATCAGCAGACTTGTTCCTGCAAATACCGAAGTGGCCAGGCATCCAGAAAACCTGGATGGAAACAGAAGATAGAGAAAAATGGGCCAGTTGTTGTTTAATATCGACGACAACAGGGTGAGAACTAATGTTAAGCAATTCCAGGGCCAGTAGAGAGCTAAGAGAATCAGAGTAAATAGTACAATCGCTGTACTGCATAGCTACTACATGATCCAGGGCAAGAGAAATAGCATTCAACTTGACAGTGAACAGAGAAACTGTAGAGGGAATCCTGCAAGCAACTACCGAGCCACCTCAAACCATGGCAGAGCCTACAGAGTCACCTGATTTCTAACCATCCGTGTAAACGAGAAGAGAAGAATGGTTTGAAAGATGTTCAGCAAAGAGAAGACGGTACTTCCAATTGGGAGTATCCGCCTTCCACAGATGACTCAAGGAAAGGTCACAGTCGGGGATGGTAATAAGCCATGGTGGAATGAGCTGATAAATGAGGACATCAACGTCATCCAATGCCAGACCCAGTTCAGTCAGTTGTGCCTGGATACAAAGGCCAAAGAGAGGAATTGAAGACTATCTGTTCTGAAAGAGCACAGCCCACTGATGAAGAAAGACACAATTCAAGGTGGAATGCTGTGATAAGGATTGAAGCTTGGTAGCATACTGCAGAGAAAGTTGCAAACGACGGAGGTGAAGAGGAAGTTTGTGGGACACAGTGTACAAACTCTGAACTGGAAAAGTGTGGAAAGACCCCGTGCAGAGTCAAAGCCCCAGATGGTGAACGGGGTCCAGCATCTTCAAGGCCGAGGTCCTGGCAGAACCATAGGCCAAAGACCCATAGTCCAGTTTGGATTGAATTAGGGCATTCAATTAGATCTCGAGCATATAACATCGATCCACTCCCCAAGATGTGGAAGAGAGGACACGGAGAATGTTCAGTGCCCTCATACACTTGACACGTAGCTTCTTGAGGTGTGGAATGAAAGTAAGCTTACGGTCAAAGATAAGCCCCAAGAACTTTGCCTCAGGGACCATGGTAAGAACAACGTCACAGAGACGGAGTTCGGGATTGGGCTGTAGACCCCATTGGTGGCAAAAATGCATGCAAACGATTTTGAACAAAGAAAATGTAAAACCGTTTGCTGTGATCCACTTCAGCTAGTGATTGACGGCAGTCTGAATCTACTGCTCAATAAACCTCATGCTTAATGACTGATACAAGATGTGGAAGTCATTGACATAGAGCCTATTTGCAACAGTAGAAGGAAATTGTTCTCTCTTTCTCTAAACTTGAGAAGGATACCAAGATTCCTTCTTATTATCGTCCAGTTGCTTTGACTAGCTGTAAGGTCTTGGAGAGGATGGTTAATGCTTGTCTTGTTTGGTTCCTCAAATCAAACAGCCTCCTCTCACCCACACAGTGGGGGTTCCGTGGACCATCTGATTCAACTTGAAATGTCAATCAGGGAAGCCTTCCTCAAGAGGGAACATCTTGTTTCTGTGTAGTTTACCTCGAGAAGGCTTACAACACTATGTGGAGGAACGTCATTTTGCGGGACCTCCATTCATATGGGTTGCGTGGCCATTTACCTATTTCTATTCAAAACATTTTACTGGACAGGCAATTCCAAGTCCATGTGGGTTTGGCTCTTTCCCGTTTTTTTCCCACAGGAACTTTGAGTCCCTCAGGGCTGTGTCTTGTATGTCACACTTTTTTGTATCAAAATTAATGCTATCACTACACAATAGCCTGGCACCAAGCATCAGGAAAAACATTCTCCTGCCAGATCCAGTTAAAAACAACCAGAAGAAAGGCAAGAGAAACAGAAGAGAGATGGCTCGGCATCTCATAGTAAACTTCATCAGGTTCGACCAATGTACTGCCAGACCGATGTAGAGCAAGTTTGAGTTCCACCAGCGTAAAGGGCCGATTATAGTCATAGAGACGATTGGCCCTAAAGGAAAGAAGTGATCGCTTTGTCCGAGACATGATGGCCAAGAAGGTGGGGGAAGAAACAGAAGTGCTAGATGCAAAGAAAAGCTGTTGCTGAGAGTATCTGTGATGCTCTGGACATTAGCAACTTCCTGACCATCAGAGAGAAAGATGGATAGGGGATGGGAAGCATACCTCCCAATGACCTTCTGAATCTTGTTCCATATGATTTTGAAACTAGTGGTAGAAGAGATGCTAGTAGTGAACTTAATCCAAGATTCCTTTGACTTTGATGTTGAACCTGCCGAGCATGGGCACAGGTCCGCTGATGAACTGTGCGGTTAGAAAGAGATGGATACCATCAGAAGGTATCCCAGGCCCGTTTTTGATCCTTCAATGCCTCCTGGCAGGCAGGACTCCACCATGGACAAGGATACCAAGAAAAACGTGTCATACAGTCAGTCACTGCTACCATGCAGTCATCT